ATGGGCTATTCTCGACCTGGAGGGATGTGGGAAGTGGGATTCCATAGGGCTCAGTCCTCGGGCCCCCACTGTTCAACATCTTCATCAGTGACTTGGGCGAGGGGGTAAAAAGCACCCTGTTCAAATTTGCTAATGACACTAAGATGTGGGGGGTTATGGGAGGAAGAACCGGGGGAGGAAGAACCAGCAGCATACCTACAGGCTGGGGAACTCCCTACTCATCAGTGCAGAAGCAGAAAAGGATCTTGGGGTCATCATTGATGCCAAGACGAACATGGGCCGGCAGTGTGGGGATGCAGTCAGGAAGGCCAACCATAACTTGTCATGAATCCACAGATGCATCTCAAGCAGGTTCAAGGAGGTGATCCTCCCCCTCTTTGCGGCACTGATCAGGCCGCAGCTGGAGTACTGCATCCAGTTCTGGGCACTGCACTTCAAGAGGGATGTGGACAACGTGGAGAGGGTCCAGAGGAGGGCCACTGGCATGATCAGGGGGCAGCAGGGCAGGCCCTACGAGGAGAGGCTAAGGGATCTGAACCTGTTCAGCCTCCACAAGAGAAGGCTGAGGGGGCATCTAGTGGCCTGTTACAAACCAGTCATAGGGGACCAGCAGGCACTGGGGGAGTCCCTGTTCCCCCAAGCACTACCAGGTGTGACTAGAAATAATGGTCACAAGCTGGCAGAGGGTAGATTCAGGCTAGATATCAGGAGGCGCTACTTCACTGTCAGGGCGGCTAAGATCTGAAACCAACTTCCAAGCGAAGTGGTGCTGGCTCCTACCCTGGGGGTCTTTAAGACAGGGCTATATGAACACCTTGCTGGGGTCATTTGACCCCAGTACTCTTTCCTGTCATGGCAGGGGGTCAGACTTGATGATCTGCTCAGGTCCCTTCCGACCGTACAAATTATGAAACGCTTGTGTCATATGTGCTTCTCTGGCAGGGAGGGCGAGCTGCTGGCAGGTGGAGCAGTCCCTGGGCTGTGGGGACGGAGAGGGAGGGGGCTGGTGCTTCCCTCCACAGCAGCAGTTGCCTGTAGGCACCTGGATCAGGGGGTCCTGGGGTGCACTGCAGCATGGAGAGAAGCACCAGGCCCCTGCACAGCTCAGGCAGGCAGGCAGGCTCCGAGGGGGAGATCAGGTTCACCACTTTGATTGGGCAGAGCCTGCTTTCCCGGGCTACTGCCAGGCTGCCCACAGGGGTTCCTGCAGAGGCGTGAAGCTGCACAGAGCCCAGTGCTTCTCTCCACAACTGTAGGGGCAGAAAACTAAACCTCCTTGAAGCAGTTTTTGTTTGCTGCGCCCCAAGTCATTTAAGGCATATTATGCCGCCGAATTTCCTACAGCAGCTGAAATTAATGCACAATACACTGATGAGGCATACAAAGACCGACACCATTAAAGTAGTGCAAAAACATTTAGCCCACTTTAAAGTGTCATGCACACATGCCTTGTTTTGTCTACACACGGCCAGTATGTCCAGGTTGGTTTTCTTGATCTTCAACTTTGGCATTGGCAATTGCAATATATGTGGATTTCTGTTTCTCTCCTTTTTTACCACAAAGGTAACGTAAGTGTGACCTTCACCAGCCCACTAGGCCAGGCGATATTCTGGATTCTGGATCCTCAAGATGCCAGTAGCCCTGGGATCTCCCTCAGGCAGGTCTTCTGACTGAGATGTCCCGTGAAGGGGTGTGTCCCTCAACCTCACCACCCAAAAATCTACTTCAAGCCCATTGAACAAATGGGTTTCTTTATTATACACAACTATATACAAAAAAGAAATTATTAATCAAAAGAAATATATCTATATTATCAATAGTTAATAATAAAACTGACAATCTGAGTGCTATCTACAAATGCAACATTAAGTGATTAGTTCAATACAATGAGTGATCCCACTTACAGCAAACTCCATCGATAATTACCTTCACCAGGTTACAACCTTTAAAACACAGTTGCCCTAGGATTACAACCCACTCCTCTTGCAATAAATTGCAATACCATTGTTGCTATGATCTGCCACTAGATAGTGTGGATGAGGCTCCTGTAACCCCTGAGGCTCTGAACTCCCTTCTTCAGACTGACTTTCATACCCGAAACCTCCAGTCTGGTGGTGCGGGCAAATTGCTTTCTCTTGTCTCTCCTGAAAATAAACTGCTTGCATACATTGTGGGGTTAAGTGTCTCCTCACCCCCCCGAGGTTTACGCTTCCTCATCCGTTCCTCCTCTAAGGCCATCTCGCCTCCCAACACTTACAGTCCAGCACAGGGATTTTGTGCCCACAGTAGGTCCTCTGTTCCTGCAGCTCTGAGCCCTCCTGGCTCAGACGGCGCTCCCTCACATTATGAGCGGGTTCTGACCTGGCAGTTTCTCCCAGCTCCTGGACAGCCTACCAGCTGTGGCTGACCACTCCCTTTCCCTGTGTTGTAAAGCTGCACAGCAAAACAGCTCCTTATGAGCACAGGCTCTCCCTCATCCCGGTATCAGCTCCCAGGGCAAGTTTCAGTACCTGTTCCAGTGGTAGGGGTGCTGCATCTCTGCCCCCTCTTTGTCCAGGCTGGAAGCGGATCCTCCTCTTACTCTTTTCCTGCATTTCGGTTGTTTTATGGTGCAAGCACAGCCAATTAAAGCCCACAGTTTGCAGCGGCAGCTCTGGTCACAGTGCAAAAGTTCCAATAAAACATATGCATGGTGCACGGCATACTTTCCACCTTGGAAAAGCCAGGGCACCTGGTGCAAGCATTTGCCACCCTTTCTGCAAAAGGTCTCAAACATGGCGTGTCCACCAAGCTTGCAGCCCAGGAACTGTTAAGCTGTTACATTAGGAAAGAGAATGAATCTTTTTCTGCCTGAATCCGATTTGCATAAGATCACCCAAAATATCTGTGGAACATAAATTCTACAAAACTTTTACGTTGTTGTTTCTTGATAATAGTTTCAGATCAGAGACCCACCCAATATATTACACTGCCTAGTTTTACCTCATATCTTTTACCCAGTTACCTCTCTTTTGAGACCAATATAGGAGCATATCTCCCAAAAGGCATCCAGTGTTGATCTGAAGAAATAAGAACATAGACGTGAAGGACTGGAAGTGTCTGTCTGGGCCACCCTACTGCTATCTCTACTTTGCTTATTTGCTTGTTTTTCCAGTAACTAACAAACCTTAGTGTTAAAATATGCATCTATTTTTTTCTATTAGAATATTTCTGGGTTCAACATTCAAACAATTGAAATAGTAGTGCATTAGCCAAATAATAGATGGGGCACACTTTAATTATAATTAGCACATTTGGATGACTTTCTATTCTTTTGTACAATAAGCATTCTGTTGTATGAGAACACTTTCTGTTTAATTTGGAGAGGAGGCAGTAGGGCCAGTAGGGGTGGGGGAGGGGGAACAGGGGGTTTCATTTTTCATTCTTTCACTAGAAAAGTGAAAGAAAAAGAAAATAAGTATTTTCTATTGAAAAAAAGACCTCACATGTTCAGATGTCCATACTACATGTAAGAATGGAACAGATTCCATATTCAGTTCAACCCCATTTAATGTTTTTTGGGAAAGAAATCTCACTAGGTGCCTAAAAATATTTAAGTGATTAAAATGTCAGCATGGAAACCAACAGTATTGGGTCACAGTTAAACAGAAATGTGTATTAATTCAAATCAGCAAAAGCTTTGCCATTGTCTTTGATGAAAGCAGAATTGAGTCAAATGTAAACCTGATGTAAGTTAGAAAATATGGTTTTATTCCAAATCACAACATATATGCATGAGCAAAGCATTTAGTTCCATCAAAATGGAAAATATAATAACCAGAAAAGATAATGAAGAGATACAGTCAACTTGGTGATCTAACCCATTATTACTCATATTTTGAAGACACATTTTAACTCTAACTGGTTGCGAACAAAATGGTCTTCCCACACTTATTTTAATTTCTGACAAATACCAGTTCATATAACAATACATTGTTTGCTTCATGGTTAGCATTACATGATTGCCTGAGCAGTAGTAAAATTGATTTATGCCATATTAAGTTAATATTTCTATTTATTGTCAGAGAAGAAGATGGCTTTAATGCTATTTGCACTGTGTATTGCCTCTCCCTACTAGAGGAACAGAATAAGCATGTGTGTGTGAGGGGGTGTGTGTGTATCTGTAAAATATATTTTAGACTTATATGACAAATACCGTCTTGTGACTTTATTCTTTAATAAGTATTTTTGTGGTAAATAATTATGGTTTTATTATCATGGTAAGTAATAATTTTCCTTTTATTTCCAGGCTGAATAAAGCATGTTTTCATACAAGTCATGACTATTTTGTGGATGGTCTCATATGTGGCACTGTTGCAACATCTATTTCTCCTCCTTAAATTTGATGCTTTTAATTTCCTTTAACTCATAAACAGGAAACAGGATTAAACTATAAAAGAGTGGACTGGTTTGTTTCTGTCCCAAATTGTTGTGTTTAACTTGTTCATTATCTTCTTTTCACTGATTCCATCTTAAATTACGGTTGTGGCTAATATTTAACAAATCCTTAACCAGAATGACTGACAAAACGACAAATCTTTTCAGATTGTTATTAAAGATGACAGTTTTAAAAGATAAGAGAAATAAATAAATAAGACCATGCCTGCATTTCTTTTAAATAAATAATTTGGTGGATTTTAACAGTGTTGTTATTTTTGTTTGTAGTATTACTTTTTAATAGCACAATTATTTTGATTTTGGCAGCAATCACTTCTAACTATATAACTACATAGTCTCAGAATATACTAGAATATATATTTTTTCAAATAATATTTTGAATTTATTCTTCTTGACGTTTTATGTTTTTGTGCAGCTTGCATCTTTTTGTTTTTCAAAGTAAAATGTAACAGATTTTGACTTCTTGGGTTACATTTTTTTCTTTTTCTTTTTTTAATTTTTGAGAACCTGCTGTTTTTGAATTCTCTTTTTTCCCTTTATTCTCTACCTCACTATGACCCCAGGAGCCAACACAAAGAAAAGCGCAGATGATATAACCAGTAATGATCGTGGTGAAGATGAAGGTATTTTTTGTTTTATCAAAGCTCCACCCTGATGCATGAACATAAACTTTTTTTTTATTATTAACATTATTTAAATGAGCTCCCCCCTTATTTGACAAAGCACACTTTAGAGTGCTTTTTATTTTCTTCTTGTTAGAAAACTACTTTCATTTTTCCTTTTTCTTTTCTTTTTTAAAGCCAAATTAGCATATAGATGACTGCAGTTACCTTGTAAGATAAGTGTAAAGATTATCCCTAAATATATGTGAAGTAACATAAATATTATTTACAACCATTTTCCCCCCTCTTGCCCTGATAGGGTGTGAAAATAGAATTTAAAAACATGCATGTATTCCCTTTCCGTTCTTTTTCTTTCCCCTTTTACATTTTGTTCACATTAAATTCATGAAATATCCCACGTTTTCTCCCTCACAACGCACATACTGTCTGGTGGATGCAGTTGTTTTGTACCTCATCTTTGACATTTTTGCTTCATTTTCTTCTCACAATACATGATTTATTTCTAGGACACAAAAATAAAGGGAGCTTGTTGGTGCTGCTGCATTGTTTTCTTCTTTAACCACCCAGTATTTCAGTCATATTAAATGTAGATTTGACCCTGCTCTCATTGAAATCAATGGCAATCTTTTCATTGACTTCTGTTAGAGTTGGATCAGCTCTCCTGAGAGGAAATGTTAAAGTTCAACATAAAATACCTTAAAAGTTTGACAAGGAAACACATTGTTTCTTTCTTTGACACAGAAGCATTTTAGAATCTTTTAAATTTGTGGGAGGAGGAAGGATCATGTATGACATCTCTCTCTATGCTTATCTTTGTTTCTTACTTAACAATTAAATTGAAAATCAGTTTTTTTATAGACATCAGATTAAAAAACAAACAAACCAAGAACAGCAATGTCTTTCCCAATTAGTCATTTATATTAATGCCACTGATAGTTTATCGTTCATCGCCAAGAATTCTGAGAGCAGAGAAATTTAGCTCAAATTTACCTTATGCTTGGCAATTTCTAAGTGTTAGTTCATCTTCCTCCTGTGGCTTTGTATCTGACACTAGCTAAAATAATTTTGCAAGATTTGCCTTCTCTGTTTTCTGTAGAATAATGTATACCCCAAGGCGATAACCCCTTAATCTAGTCTTTTCTAGGGGGTTCAGACCTACTACAGCTGCTCTAAGTTTTCAAAGTATAGGAACAAAAAGTCTCTGGTCCTTGTATCACACTGTTCCCTCCACTATACTTTCTTCATTGTTATAATATTTTTTCCCCTTAGGCAAAAAGCACTGTATGCAGTACTCAAAGAGCAGCTTTACCTATCGTTTGAATAAACCCTTCTCTAGAAATCCGTTTTTAACTGATAGTATCATCACTTGTTGTACAAGATACTATAATTAAAAAATTCAATTAAAAATTAAAAGAGGAGTTGTTTTAAAAGTTAAATAGAAAATTATGACTTAAATAGTGCAGTATCAGGGCCTAGGAAGCACCTGATAAGTAAAGATTAAATAAAACAAATTATTTTATCAGGTTTTATGCTTGTTGGATAATATGAATCATTTTAGCATAAATTGTATTTCCAGGCTAATCTGAGCTTTGATTCCTCGTACATATTAAATTTTAACTGATATTCTTGAGAATTTTGACTACACTAGGAAAAGACGGTTAGGTCCTACAAATACAACTGTGCATAATTTATTTTCCTAATACCCATATAATAGATAAAAGACTTTACTCTTATAAGATTTCTTGATGTGGTATGGTTAAGTGGCTATCCTTATAGGTATTTCTTTTTCAGTGACTATATAAAAAAAGAAAATAGTAATTTATCTCCAAGTAAGGATGTTTGAAATTAAATCATTGGTTAATGTCTTATCTGATATGCAGTTCTTCATAGAGATACACCTCAACAAATAAAGAGATTGTTATTATCATAACTGGCATAACTGCAACCTCATATAAGTGTTATCCTTCACTACCTTAGTCTCTGAGTACCTCCCAATCACTAAGAAAGTATCTTCATAAGCCACTATGAATTCTGGGAGTATTATTTTCTCCTTTATTCAATAAACTGGCACCCAGAGCTCTTCAAAACCAGTGAAAAGCCATGACAGACATATGTCCTAATCCTAGGCAGACCTAAGAATCTAATCCAGAACCCATGAGGTCTAATCTGATTCCTAAACACCTTACATAAAATTCCTCTTGACCTTATTGTGATAAATGACACTAAAGACTTAATTTGATTTGGCCATAGAATGTTGATGATGAATTCAAGATATAGTATATTGACCCTGAGACAGGTTCAAAGAGGTGATAGTTTGCTATGCTCAGCTTTTATCAGGAAAAAATGTTGACATGTTGCATGCTACTGAAATGAGACACATGGATTTATATTTTCTGCAAAGCTGTTTCTCCCAGTTGCTGGGGAAATGGAAAGACTTGAAATAATGATTTTATTTTATATTTCAATGTATTTTTTTTCTGGTTTGCCTAGAATTTTATGTTAAAAATATTCTAATAATGATCCCAGTTATTCTGCCATTTTTTTTCTTTAGGCTCCTCATGCACCCTACAACCAAATTTCTTATTACCTGTTAAGTATTCCCATTGTTCAAAGAACATTTTGAATGACATTGTATTTGGAAGTAACAAACACACATCAAAAGAATAATTAAACCAACAAACCCATTGAGCAAGTGGTGTCTTTACTGAAAAAACAGGGAGGAGAATTACCTGACTAAACAGATGGTGATGAAATGGAAAATAAGGGGGGGAAAGAAACAAGCGTTGTTAACATTTTTGTAAAGCACAACAACAGCCATTTTTTTTTTCAATATTTGTTATTACTTTATTGTGTTTTCCCTACTTGGCTTTTTTCAGACATTCATGACCAGAACAGCAAGAAACCAGTTATGGTCTACATCCATGGGGGATCCTACATGGAGGGTACTGGCAACATGATTGATGGGAGCATTCTAGCAAGCTATGGAAATGTCATCGTTATTACCCTCAACTACAGGCTAGGGGTTTTAGGTAAGTGACTCATTTCTTAAACAGAAAAGCAACAAACTTACATTACAGTGATTAAATGGATTTCCATTAAACTACATAATTTGATGGATGTGTTTTATTGCTGAGTGCATCTATGGATTGATCTCAACTCCTTTTAAGAGCACTTGGACCAATTTTGTCTCATAAAATAGAATATTCTTGTGGGCAAATAGCTCCCATTTTAATTATATTGCCTGTATAGATTTAAGTCTGAATCCCTTTGGATATTTTATGGAGATTTTGGTACCTGAACAGTTTTGAGTCTTCTGTTGACAGTTGTCTTCACCTTAAAACTGACTTGACTTTTTAATAACTCTATTCCCAATTTTAGAATTTTCATCAGAACCTCATTTATTTTGACTAAGTGACTTAACCAAGGTTCTAAATAGTAATTTCCCGGTGCCCAGTGCCCCATGACAGCTTGTGCTAGTAAATAATCTTGCACCATGGAGGGGTTGAAGAATGATGCTGAGGGGCCAGGTCTCTGCAGCCCACAGACCCTTGTGAGAAGGGAGAGTGGTGCAAGATGAAAGTTTATAATGCAGCTTTCCCCCCCGACCACTACTCTCCCATGTATAGGAAGCCCATAAATAAATCAGTCTCATTTGTTCCTCTGTGCCAACTGGAGGAAGTGTTATGTCCAGGGATCCTGTTTTTCTCTGATAAAAAAAAATCCCCAGTTTTCTGATTCAAAAGAGTAACCCCAAATCCACATTTCCCCCCAAATCCACATTTTTCCATGATTTTATATATATGTGGCATTTCATTTTAATCATGGAAAAATGTAGTTTAGGGTTACTTTTTTTAATCTGAAAATTGAGGGTTTTTTTTTTATCAGAGAAAATCAGGATCCCTGGTTATGTCCCTCCCCCTGTCTTCTAACTATGCAATGGATGGAGGGAAGGAAGTGCTGGAAGTGTCTTGGCTTTGGTTTTCAGACATGATTCGCATCATATTTATCCCTTTCTGTCCTGTTGCTCCATGTGTGATTGGGCTGTACCTCTTCAAGGGGGTGATGACCGCTTCTTTGGAACCTGGGGGCATTCTGGATTCTGCCCCTCATGGGCCTGATTCTGAGTTATCTGACCCTTGTGTGGCTGGAAACAGTTGTTTTGAGTCCCCCTTATTCTGCTCATGTGCTGGGCTGTGCATGACCCTGATCAGCCCTTGGTGCAATTCAGGGCAGTGTCAAGGCTTCTCTAACATCTCAGTTTTCCATGGTCCTCTATAACTTCTAGAATGGAGAGAATAGTATATAGTCTCTTCTCCATTTAATATATGAAGAAGGGGAGAATTAATCAAAGAAATAAAATTTATCCGTACTAGGACCATGTCATTGATTTTGGGGGATAGGGTGCACAGGAGACCCTCTATTATAAAGCTGCCTTCCCAAGGGTCTTCCTCCTTCATGCTTCCTTTTGCAGACCCCCACCCCCATACATGCACTCCTGCTATGTTGAGATTTGTTGTTTCAGTTTCAGAGTCACACCAAATATATGCACTTAGGTGAAATTTATGATTCAGCTAAAAACATCTGCAGTGACAAGGAATGATATAAGTGATCCTTCAAAACAACAAGGAATGATTTTTTCTGGGCGCACAAGTTAATTTGTTCAGGGAATTTACTTCTGCTGTCTGCTGGAGAGAACAAGAGCAGTATCTTGCCAAATATTTTGACATTACATGTAAGGTTGAGAAAAAATGGTTTTCCTCTGAGTCATGATATTAGATCCATTCCCCCCCTTTTCTACCTCCTCCTTGATTCTAGTGTCTAATTGTTTGTCTCTTAGTATGCTGTACTCCTGATGCATTCATTTCAATTCTTTAATGTAAAAAGAGACAAACCATTGCTCTTGTCTCAATGATCAAGGGAAATAATTTGAATACCAATGATGTGGCATATAATCTATATATTTATACTTCTTGCCCAAATATATATCCAGCACTTTTGGCATACCAGGTAAGGCACAATGATATTTTTAGATTTAAAATTGTGTTTTAAAAGGAATATCTCTTTGGGGGTTTTCCCATGCATATATTTTTATGCACAAAAGGAAGTTGAGTTATGTTCTTTAGGTGTGCTTCTATTGAATAGAGAGATTATTTTACTTTTATGATTTGTTTGTATGTTTAAGCACTTTCCGCAGCTATTTGAAATAACGTAAGCTCCCAATATAGCTGTTATATGATTTGAAATATAACGGAGTATTTATTTTTTAAAACACCTCTAAAATTTAAAGCTATGAATTAAGGCTTCACAGAAGCACAACATTTATTTCAACTAGTATTTAAACATCAAAGTAGATGTCTACACCATGAAAGTAGCCTGTCAGTGGGACTGCTCCCAAACATGCACCATCTAGCTGTTTGCACACTCCAGCCCCAGAAATACAGTAGGGAGGATGGTCTTGGGGTTTCTGCAATGCCTGAAGGCAGCACCTAGTGGGGGGCCTAAGCAAATCCACACTGGCTGGAGCAGGCTTCTAAGGAGGCATAAATGTGGCCTACATGTCCATGCTGCTTGGGCACATCCCTAGTGCACATGTGGTTTGCGGTGCCTCAAAGCAGTTTGAAGCACCACAAACCGCACATAGCACATGTGCAAGCATTCACGTCACTGCTAATCTGCAGCATGGTGGGGTTATTTTTTACACTGGTAGATCCCAGTGTAAAAAAAAAGAAAACACTGATGAAAAAAATAGAGCAGTGCCCTTGGCAGCAGTGTGAACTGCCAGAAACTGGAGCCTAGCCAGCCAGAGCCACACTTTGGCTCTTGGCCAGGATCTCATGGGCCAGCTTGGCACCACTGCTGCCCCAGGAGGCCCCCAGGACTCCAGGTAACGCTTTCTGATGCCAGCACAGGTGACATACCTGGGTCACTTTGCATGTGCCAGAGCACACATGCAGGAACAGGTCCAGTGACAAATAGCAGCAGCACTAATATGTCCCTAACACATTTGTACTGCTGATATTTGACCTCTGGTAGATGCATGTCCCTGCACATGCATGCTTGTCAGGTGTGCCCCTTGAGTTCCTGAAAATTCATTTTTGCAAAATGTAGGCAGTTCCTCTTCTTTTAGAACTTAGCTTTAAGACTAAAATGAAGTCATTTTTAAAAAGTAGAAACCCCAGAGGGTTTTTTTTTGTCTTCCAGGCAATGAAACAAGATGCAATTGATTTATACTTTGATGCCTACGTGCCATTTAGATGCCTAATATGTGGAATTTATACCTAAGGGTACAAATTGTGTGCATAAACACAGGGATTCAGTGCTGTCTTCATATGCATGTGTGCAGAGGGGATGCAAACTACACTTCTAGATGTAGATAGTGTGTTTTTTGTGAGAAAGTATAAGTTACTGTGAAGCTGCTTCTGAAAAGCTTTGCATTCTGCTCTTCCAGTTTAAGCTAATGAAGGGGACAGATGATCAATGAACATTTTTTTTTAAATTGGTGCTTTTCCCATTGTGATACCTCAGGCAAAAGATTGAGAAGTGTGTGCCAGGTTTGCCTTTATAAATCCTGGCAGTATCTTGTTTTCTTGATTCATACAGAGAGAGAGACAGGGAGAAAGATGAGAGGAGGTGTTCTGCTTTGTGATTCTGGTTCATAGACAACTAATACATTTCTTTTTTTCATTTAAAGGAAGAATTTGGCATACAACAGACTAAAGTTATTATCTGTGAGGAATTTAGGAGGATTGCAAAAAATGAATTTTATATTGCAACTTAAATATTGTTTCTCAAATTCAGCCAGTATAAAGACTGATCTGGGAAAGAGTTTGTCTTTGCTTACAAAAAGCCTGTGTGTGAATAAAAGGGGCCAAAGGAGTATTCACAATATGTATATAGCAAACTGGTAAAAAAAAAAAATCATAGTAGACTTGCTTCAATATTGGATGCTTGCTTTCCCCTTTTCTCTTTGTGCCTTTGAAAAATGTGAGTGTAGCCTTCAAAAGGAACAACTTGTACTTGCCATACCAAGTCCTGAGAATTCTGAGTAAGTCTCAGTGAGGAAGAAACAAAAAAGATAAACCATCTATCTTTGAGTAAATAACCACATATGGAATATATGTTCATTAATAAAACAAAGGTGGAGATTAAATGTGTGTGTGTGTGTGTGTGTATATAGATAGATATAGATATAGATCTATATCTATCTATATATATAAAGATTTTTTTTTCTTTAATCTCCCAAAGGGCTTACTAAGACCTAAGGGCAGAATTCTGTTGGCCTTTGTGAATCTAGGTGGCCATTTTCTAGCCATTTATCATTCCATTTTTGGCTTTCGCTTTATGCATAAACCGAACAAGCTCGAATACACAGACTGAGCATCAATAGTAGGGCTAAATACTGCACAAGTTACATTTTCTTATGTTGCCAGCGCTGGAGTGGCAAAGTCTCCTCTCCTGGCTGCCGCCTGGACCCTACCTTGTTACTTTCTCTGGCCTCTCAGGGTTTCCCCACTCAGTAATCTCACTCGCCACACATTGATGCTATTATTTCATAGGGAGGTGACCTCGAGGAAGCAGAAGTGGGTTCTGGGGTTAAGTCTGTGTCTGGGCTGAGCCTGCCCCCAGCTTTGAACCACTCTAATCCAGCTGAGATTTACTGCCTGAGGTCCATTGGGCTCCTTGCTCCCCATCACAGGCTACTTTAGAGACAATGTGTTTTTAGGAAACCATGCTTTTAAACCTTATTTTTCATAAAGTAAGACAAATGAAGACATTTAGGAACCATATTATCTGATCATCTTTGTGAGAAAAGGATTCTGCAGATCAAAAAGGATTTTACATACTTACAATCTTATATATTACTTAAAGGAACTTTTGCTTAAGGCCACTTAGTTTTCATTCACTTTGTTATGGCCTCTCTCAGCACTTCCCCCTGACTCTGTTTGATATCCTACTCTGCATGCTCTTTCATAGAGGATGAAGTGAGATCTTTTCCCCCAAAAACTTATGCATCTCTGATTCAGTTAGT